ACACAATTATTATATATATTTTGGTCTCCAATTTTATACACCGTGGCTTTTTGAGGATTGATAATGCAATCTGAGATAATAAAGGTGATGGTTCTTGATCAATTCATGCATGCACATCATAATGAGATGTGAATTTTCATTTTCGGAAAACCTGTTTTTCTGTAATATTATTAAAAAAGAAACACAGTACAGTCAAATCAAATAAGGTTTTAATAATTGAAGGCATCCAATGAAGAAGGTTCGTAGGGTTATTTAAACTCGTAACTGGTTTTTCATACTGCATGACGATGAAAAGAATTGAAGTTCTATTTTTAGTCTCTGTAAAAGAATTGGTTAACAGCGAAAAATGTGAAAATTTCATACGAATTCTTTTAAAACTTCAGTCTCCTCATCGGCTTGCAGTATGAAAACACAGAAAATCCCATTCTTTTTGTTACAAGTTCAAATAATCCTTCGAGCCCTGTGTCTCATTGCGATTACCATACATGTGGCTTTAATCATTAGTACTTTATTTGATTTAACCATCGCTTTTCAAGAAGACAGGAAATATAATATAGCGAAAAAACTGTATTACTTTACCAATCATGAAAGAGGCATGCTGTATGAAATCAAAGACGAAAACATGTCATCATGCCTCATAAATCGGGAATTCGATGCAGAAGGTTGTATCAGTTTATTAGTTCCGCTTCTGGTTGAACTACTTTAAAATTAGCTAAAAAGGAGCCAAAATAAAGAATCATTTCTTTAGATTTCCCAAAAATCCATTTTCGTCAAAACTCGTTATCTTACACTATGATGCCGCACATTTGTATCCTACAAATTTAAATTCGCTTGAATCACTGTAAAGAGCAAAATTTTGCCCATCCAAATTTGAAAATTAGTTAAAACCCCACACAATGGGGGATAATTTAGTTCGTTTTGTATGTCTAACCTTAGGACCTCTTGCCCAATTATTAACGATCGAGGTTGTCCTGCTGTGAAGGATTCAGTCTTTTATCCATGTAGTGTTCTAGATATAGTCCGTAGTAGTTGGGAATGTTGGCGAAATTGTTGTACGTAGGTCCATGGACTGTTGAAAGTCTGCAGGCTGAGCGATGATAGGAATTCTCCCCGTAGGCGTTATGATTTTCCATATATCATGTCAGCGGCTGTTGCTTCCAGGTCTTTCTTCCAGGCTGCTCGAGATCTTTCTTTCAGGCTTCTCAGATGTCTAATACTACTGTGGGAAGAATCTGGGACCAGCTGTTGTTTTGATGACATGTTGTTGTAGCCTTCAACTGACTATGAAATTGTTCATTCATTCCATTAGCTGCAGGGTGGTATGCCGTGGCATGGATGCATTTGGTGTTCGTTTGAGATTTGAACTATCTCCCTTGATCTGTAGTAATCCATGAAGGTTCACCAAATCAACAGATCCATCCTTCATAGAAAGTCTAGCTTCGTAATCTTTAATGAGAATCGCCTTTGGAACCGGTCTATATGTAAAGCAGTAACGACAGCCTTCAGAGTAGGGTATTATGACCATGACTATGTTACGTATTCGAATTTGTCCAATGAGCCTAAAGTGGTAGAAACTTGTCGGTAAATTTTCGTCTTTCGACGTGAAAATAATTGTTTGCTGATGGCTAGATGAAGCGTTGTATGATTAATTTGATAGATACACAAACAGCAGGTTGGATAAAGAAATGTAAGTGGTTGGAAATCGCGAAGCGAAATGGTGGGGTCAAGGATGGCCTGGCTGTTCCTGTTGAGATGTTACAGAAGATAGCTCCAAACCAGGGATATGGATATGTTGTAATACTGAAATATGATTGAAGTGAAAGGATGTCTGTTACGATGTTTTTTTCCCAGATGTGTTGTATGTTTATTGAAAATTGTTTGATTGGGGGCACTTGACAGAGTTCTCACGGAAGGCAAATGTAAGAAGTTTGTAATGCCTAAAATAATAAAGCTACAGGCCTCTAAGAAATGTCAAAAGCGCAAGATGTTCTCGATTAAAAGCATTGTATTTTGTCTCCATGTTGGAGAGTTTCCTTCCAGTTTCCATCATGGTATTATATCTAGCTAAGCAATTGGAATTTGATTGTGTGCTCGAACCAGGTCGGTTGTGCAAATCCGGGGAATGGGAATGTCGGGAATGGCTCTTGCGTGAGCAATAATTTCCACAGGGTCGTCATTCATCGTCTTTCTTAGGTACCATGTGGAGTGGCAATTACTCAGGGATCCTAATAGGGGCGAGCGATGCGAAGGTTAGGGCGGTTATTAGTTTATTTGATACGCGTTTAATGGATGCTGGAGTGTTGACACATTCTGTGTTGCTTAGCCTGAGCTACCCCTTTTGTTAATATGCTGCTGTAGATGACGACGATCTTCCTGGTATGGGACCCAGTCCGGAGTTGTTTCGCCGTCCATTGGACGGTGCTGTTCCTGTTTCTCCACATCTATTCTGAATGTATACATATTGAGTTGAGAGCTCTTTCGATGTTTTTAAGCTATACAATTTTCGGGGTGGCTGTAGCCTATTTCTTATATTTTTCAAATATAATGAAGTTCTTTCTATTGTTAGGAATAGTTTTACCTTTTTCTCGAGCGTAATTTTCTGTCCTTTGTTCTTCGAATACTTGCTCTCTTTAACAGTCGTATGCTTGAACTGTCGACCGAGAGAACAAGACGTTTTGCTCGTATTGATATAAGTAGTAATTAAAAATTTGTTTTTAAATTTAATACTTCGTCTTGTATTACTTAAGCTTTTTTGAATTTATATTACAAAAAGAATATATGTGGTAGTTTGTTTATTGTAGGTATAATATGTGGGGCTAATTTCGGAAATTAATTAAAACTCATTCATTGTTTGAAAACTATACGATCATGGAGGTGGTTACAGCCTATTTTTCATTTTTTTTTGTAATTATAATAAACCTCTTTCTATTGTTAGGAATAATTTTATGTTTTTCTCGAGTGTAATTTGCAATTTTTTATTCTCCGAATGCTTTCCCTCTTTAACAGACGTATGTTTGAACAGTCGATCGAGAAAACGAGGCATTTTGCTTGTATTAATATAAATAATAATTAAAAATTTGATCTTAAATATTCATCTTGTATTAATGATACTTTTTTGAGCTTATATTACAAAAATAATATATGTAGTAGTTTGTCTATTGTGTAGTATGTGGAGCTAATTTCGGAAATTAACGAAAACTCATAAATATACGATTATCTAGGTGTTTATAGCCTATTCTGCATTTTTTTAAATTTATAATAAAGCTCCTTCTATTGTTAGGAACAAAAATGAAAGAATGAGATAGATATAATGAGAGTGAGAAAGAGACGGAAATTGAAATATTTCCTATAAAAGAAAAATACTTCGGTGTCCAGATCTGATCTAACACGAACAATAGAAATGAATGTTAGAACTTACAGTTATTATTAATTCGGCGCCATGATAATGGGTAGTATCGAGTGCTATTAATTAATTGAATTATCGCGTTAGTTTTCGTAAATTAGTAAAGAAAACTTATCCGATATCGTGTTGTGCAATCATCAATGTGAATTTAAACAGTGATTGGGGCGAAAGTTGCACTTAGGATTAGGATTACGAAAAGTGGTGAGTGATTGAAATAAGAGTTATCATCCGTTTTGATCATTACCTTGCATGATCGTCATTGTTAAATTTAGTGTTTGTTATGTTTTAAATAATAAGAGTGCTCCTTAATTATTACATTAGGAATGCCTCAATTTGATAACAAAGCCTGAATCCAAACGCGCAAATACTAGTTGTTGTATGATTGCAATTGTGAATACTAAATTATATAATAAGGGTGCTCCTTAATTATTACATTAGGAATGCCTCAATTTGTTAACAAAGACTGAATCCAAACGCGCAAGTACTAGTTGTTGTATGATTACAATTGTGAACACTGAATTACACAATGGTTTCAATTAAGAACTTCTTTTATTAAAAGAAAATATATTTTTATGAATGATCTTTACGAACTTTTGTGAATTACGTAAAAGAATTTCGGTTTTATTAATTAATTTTTATAAAATAACATGTGTACATATAGTATGTACGTAAG